AGAAATCAAAAGCAAGATCTGTGTCTTCAGTGGGTGCGGGTGAGTTGGGGAGTATGAGTGAAGGAGCTAGAGGGCTGAACAACTGGCCTGCTGGGCCATGTTTTCCCAGAGCTGAATCTCGTGTCTTTAACAAAACCCACTAACATACAGAAATGTTAAGAAAGTTGCTTCATATTCTCGCATTTGATTGAAAGTATGGGAATGGAAAGCTCCTTTTAGTATTTTGATGAAAATCCTAAAAAGCGAGCTTTGCTTAAATACCAGCACGAAGATTTTTAAATAGATCTAATCTATGACCCATGTAGAGCTTCCGTATGCTTTAAGCCCAGCTCTCTCCTGCCCCTAGTCGGGCACATGGGTCGCTTGTTTGTCTTCGCTACACGCGCATAAATAAAACTCATTGCTGCAGACTTCTTCCCCAACTCTTGGGTGTGTGTGGGGCCAAAAAGTTTGACCAATAGAATTTTGTTGATTTTTCGTGGTTGAAGTTTCCGTTGTTGTTGTTGTTGTTGTTGCAGTGGAAGATAAATGGCAATGGAATTAATTAAGTTGTTAATTTCCCATTAAGCAGTGCGAACAGCACGTAGCAAACACATATGTGTGTGTGTGTGTGTGGTGGGAGGGAGAGGGCAAGGGAACGCCTCGAGACATGTCCTGACAGCACTTGACAAAATTATGTGCCTGGCGGCTGCGTTTAACCTTTCAGCGACTCGCAACACAAACAAACATCAGGGCCAAAGGCTCCAACTTTCTAAATCTCTCTCTCTCTCGGTCTCCCTCCTCTCTTTCCCAGTCAATTTACACACATGTGTGTGCGGGTCGGCGAGTGTGTGGCAAAGTCGACCGCAGCAGCACGCGTCAACATTTAGTGCTGGTTTACCACACACACACAACCACTTTGACTCACACACACTCGGCGTGTGTGTTGTGTATTAGCATATGAAAGCCTCGCACCCGTCGCATTACAAATCGTATGCTTGCAGCACCCTAAGCGAAAGGATTCGCACGCCTGCACAGAGCACACACACTCGCACACACACTCTATTCATGTGTGTAAAAAATACGCATAAAAAACAAACCACGCGCAGCATTGACTACCCATTATCCTGCCAGAGCATATCCTTGCCTTCTTTTCACTGCTTTCACTGCCGCTAATAGAGCGTAATAAATGTCATGTTTATGCCAGACTGAGCTACTCCTTTCGCCCTCATGTCCTCCCATATGTGTGCGTGTCTATATGGACAACCCTTCGTCAAACAAAAAAAAAGGACCTTCGCTTATCAATTTGCTCGCTGCTGCTGTGAGTGAGCTGTTTATTTGCCAATCGCCAGGGCACTTTCAGATTGCAGATTTCAGGTCGATGATTGATAATTGTCGACAACCCCGAAGCATATGGCCCAAAACTGTGGAATATCTTGTGAGGCCAGTTTCACCAGAGCCAGATATTCATTATCTAAACTCTCATCTCAAATGCAATTTATGGCCATAGAACCAATCACCTGTTTAGAGTGGGATAGAGTACTCTCGAAGGATTGCGGGGCAGTTCCTTTTGACAACTCTGTACTGTAATTTTGTAATTGAATATAAATTGTAGGACTGACAGCAGATTTAGAAAATGAATAGCTATTTCAGCACGAAAAAAAAGTAAAAAAAAATAAAAAGTATAGACCTTATGAAAATTGTGAACCGAGTCATTGACGAGCTGAGCTGGTTTTATATTAACTTATTTTTTAAATTTTGAATGAAGTAATTTAATTGATTTATGATGCTTACTTTTTACAGGCATAGATTTATATTAAATACTATTTATATATATATTATATTTATCTGAATAATAATAAAAAACAATTTCGAATATTTAATATAATTAAGTCTATTGAAAAGATTAGAAATGCAACTCTAGTTACACGTAAGTAACAAAAGTCTAATATTACATACATTTGTATTTTTTTTACAATTACAATTTATTAATAAAATATCGTATTTAATATGGGATTGCTTTATTTCATTACTTTCTGTATTAGATTCCATAAATACCATCAAGTAAAAAGCCCAGCTACCAATTTGTGTTTGACTTTATAAATAAGCAATAATTTCATTTGTTAATATAGCCATGTTAATTCAAACTGACAGACTCACAAAGAGAAAACGAGAGAGAGAGAGAGAAAAAAAACAGACGCCAATATTATGAACTATAAAATATTCATATGCAGTTGCTTTGGCATTTGGCTTAACATTTGCCTTTGCCTGTTGGCGCGACATATCAGAAAAACACATTAACAAATGTCCTTAGGTATTACGTGGCTCCATCCGCGGCTGCGGCTGAAGAGCCTGCCACTCATCTAATTGCATTAGAAGGTAGCATTAAGATTGAGTTCTGGGTGCTTCCTGGGCTGCCACCCTCGCGATATGTTGGCAGCAATTGCACTGCCTAGGCACATGTTGTCATGTCCTTTGGCTGTCGCTTCGACTGTCTTCGTTTTACTTTTCCTTTGCTCTGCGCTTGTCTGTCTCGCGCTTTTCAAATTTTATGACATTTTTATGCGATGCAGTGTGGGCGTGTGGGCGGGTGGGTATGTGCTGGGGCATATGTCAACGCACCTATGGCCGAGAGCTGTGGGGCTACTATCCCCCCTTTTACCCCACCCGTGCTGCTCATGGATTTGTGTTTTACGTTGATTTCGCGCGAAATGTCCACGCGTTGTAGAACAAAAACAACAACATGTTTGTTTTATTTCATTTTGTTACATTTTTGTTTGTGTATCATCGCTGTTGGCTTTTATGTAGCGGCTTTTAAGTTTTTATTACATCTACGTCATAATTGACGTAATTGTTTTGGTAGTTTTTGAAAGCTTTTTGCTGTCCTTTAAGCACTTAGGCCTAACATAAATGAAGCAGCTTTAGTTCAGCGAAATATAAAATGAAAGGCATATATTATTTAGGTGTGAATAAAAACTAAATAAATATTAATAAAAGGAAAAGTTTCTATGGGATGCAGCTATAAACATTGTAGCAGCATTTGCAACAGAGAACAAAGGCCCGACATTTTATTAGAAATACTGTGATTATTTAAAGTAATTTTTTGTAAAATTGTAAATTTAAATTTAAAATCCAGTAAATGTGCAATTTGAGGAAAAAAGTAAATTAAAAAAAAAAAACCTTAATATGTTGCAATTTTTCTTTAAGCTCATTTGATTAGTGAATGAAATACTTATATGAATTTCAATACCTATAATCATAATTAATTATAACACTGCTTCGTCCTTCCTTTGCTTTGATCAAAGGACGCTCAATTTATCACTTTTAAAAATAGATTACAACTTTCATATAACACTTTTGACGCAACTGTACCTACTCAGCCAGTTTCAGTCATTAGCACAGCCTTTGCGGGCGCACATCAAAAGAGTTGCCAAGGATATGAGCACAGCCAGCCAGCCAGCCAGGCAGCCAGCCAGCCAGCCAGCCAGGCAGACAGACAGAGAGGAAGCGCAGACACACAGAACCAACAGCGCTCGAAGCGCCAAATTGCAAACTTAATAACAAAGGGCTCAAAAGCAGGGGTACACAGGCATGCATATACATACATATATCTCTTTGGAGAAAATGAGAGAGATAGAGAGAGATTGGGGATGGGAGGCTCGTAATGAAAACGAGGCAAATGCAAATGAACAAAAGGCAACATGCCATATATAGAGCCAAGTGTCAGAGCCAAGAGTTGCTCAGCCACATCAGCGTCAACATCCTTGGCAGGAAAATCAAAGCACCAAATGAGAGAAGCGGACGGAGAGTGAGATGAGAAAAAAATGCCAAAAGCCAAAGCTAAGGAAACGCAGCTCGAGAAGATGAGCAAAATAAATGGAAAAATTGCGAAAAAATAAAATTAAAATATCGATCAACAGTCGGCAGCAACAGCTAACGAACTCGAACCCCTTCCGCAGAAGCGAGGGGGCGCCGGAGGAAAGGGCGAGCGGAGGCACAAATGAGAAAGCAGACGAAAGGGCTTCTGATATGAGCTTTTGGCGTACTCCTGGCTGCTGTCTAAAGCCGAGAAACGAGAAACGAGAGGCGAAAGGCGAGAAGTGACTATATACCCAAGAGTTGAAAGTGGGGGCGCTGCGGTTGAGGAGCGGGAGGAGGAGGAGTAGGAGTGCGGGGTGGGCAGGTCGCTGTGCATGTCCTCGACGTGCGCTCTTAAAATTAAAAGCATGTTTGATGAGGAAATTGAACTGGCATGTAAATGTGTGTGTATGCGTGTGTGTGTCTCAAAGAAAAGCAAAGCAAAAAAATGTTGCCCAGGGTGGCATTAACCCCCCCACAAGCTTAATTCATCAGAGGACGTTTGCCGTTATCCTTTGCTGCGCTGATATCTAGACGCCCGCTCCGCTTCGTCTCGGCTCTTCTCTGCTCTGCTCCGCTCATTTCTCTTAATTTCATTCACCCTTTGCAAATGAGCCCAGAGGAGGGGACAGATGGGAGCACAACAAAAAATTTTCCACATTATTTCAGACGCTGCGTCGCCGTCGACGCTATTCAAATTTTTGTACTTTTGCTTTGCACGCGCTCGCTCGCGACTTTTCCTTGTTTTCGCTTTTACATTTTTTAATAGCTAGAGAAATTTTTCGCGGCTGCCTTAAACGAAGGGTGGCACATTTTTTCTGTTTTTTTTTTTTACAGCATGACAACCCTAGCCACTTTCTGTTTGTGTGTGTGTGTGCGTGTGGCACTTAAAACGTTTTTTTAGAAAGTTTTTTTGCCGCGCACTTGCGGGTATTAAACTTAATGTTGATAGTGTAATTTTATATTTAAGAGCAAAGCTAAGCAACAACAAAATAAAAGCAGAAAGGAATACCGCGTTAGGGTTGCGCGGTGTCTATGTCAACAGCTGAGTCTGAGTCTCTAATTTTTTTTTTTTTTTTTTTTTTTTCGCCAGACGAGGGGGTGACAGTTTTTTCCTATGCCCAAAACATTCCGATTTTTTTTACTAGCTCAACGGGTTCTAATTGAAGTCAAGTTGATTTATTTAAGGAGAGGGGGCTTCATTTTCGAATGGATATTGGGTCAACAAGTTTTGGGCATATCAAACTACTTTGTCTTTTAATTATAATTCATAAAATAGTTGAAATATTTTTCTGCGTCTCTTTCTGTTTCCTTTCTTCAGCCAACTCTTGCTGTCGGCTAATTTGAAGCTGTTTCATGCTCTTCTCTCAACCTTTTCTGCTGCTTAAATAGAAATTACTTCATCGATTTTTTTTTGTATTTAACTCTCCATCCAACTTTCAAATAGGCCGCAGGATAAGGAAGAACCAGAAGGAAAAAAATGGGTCTGACGCGCGCTTCCGTCGACCCCCACAAGAAAGATAGACGAAAAAAACTTGAGACACGCAGTTTTTTTTTTTCAACGAGTTTTTAATTTAAGGGTAGCACTCAGCATCTTTTTTATTCTCTTGCTGCGCATCCTTTTGAATCCTTGCCCGGTGGGTAGCCTAATGAAAAGTCACCGTCAATTAGAGGGTCGCCACGCGTCTAAAAAAACGCAAATCAAATTAGAAGAAAAAAGCAAAAAGTTGGAAAAAAAAATTAAAAAATAAATAAAAAAAAAGAGGAAAAACTGCAAAAAATGCGACCAAAAGTCAGCGAACACGAAGAACCCCTCGCCCGAAATCCTGTGCAACCAAATGAGCCAGGACATCGCCAGGAGGAGAAAAACACAATTTACATTGGCAGACAGACACTTCAGAATGCAGAAAGATGAGCATGGAAATAAGCGAAGGACGTGTCTGCGCATTTTCTGATATTTTTGCAGGACATTTTATTTGCTCGAATGCCTATTGTTTTCTTTGATCCTGCAGTATTGATAAACCCCATTTGTAGCAGACAACTCTTTCTTTGTGATGAGATCTGCGCGTGTAATTGCAGATAATCCACGTCTGGCTTCACTGATTGCCAGCTCTAAGCTGCGCATGCAAGTAGGCAATGCTTTTCTTTAAATACCCTTTCGAAAGATACGCAAATTGGGTGTGCTAGGTATCAAAGGGTAGCGAGTAGTTGGCAGAATAACAATGTGAATAAGAATTGTATGTTATCTATTTAAGAGAATGAGAATCGTTTAAATGGCTTTTTGTTAAACTTACCTGATCATTTATCTGATTATTTAACTTAACTGATTGAGAGAGAAAATTAGTTTGGCATCATAATCATTTTAGAAAATACTGCGTAGATGATTGCATTTTATCAAATTCCCGCAAATATAATAGGAATACCCTTTGTAGTTCTTATCCTCCAATTCTCTTCTAAATCTAAATATTCTGAAATATATTGATTACATTTTGAGTTAAATAAATTGTACCAACTATTAAAGTTTGACTTATTATAGATGACATTCTATTCGTTGGTAGATTCTCAGTCCTGTTTATAAAATTCAAAGCACTTGTTTTAAATTAAATTAAATATTAAGCAATGTTCATTACATTGCAATTTGAGATAAATTGTATAAAGTATAAAGTTACCAGACAAAATATCATACATTCGCTTAAAAATAATTTAATTTTAGAATAAGTAATAAATTTAATTTAATTTTTAAGTTTAATTTTGTAATCATGATAGGGTATTTTCTAGTCTCTACAGTTTCAAATGACCTTCTTCCATTCGGTTGTGTTTCTGGCTTTGTCTACCTGCTGTGCACGTGTGTGGCTCTGTCAATATTTGTGGCACACACATATGTTCTTGTTGCGGAAGTAACCTGATTTTTTCTGCAAAAACAAATGCAAAGGGACGTGGCCTGTTGTCATTGGTGGGGGGCAGGGGCCAGCCCGTGGAGCTGTGTAAACTGCAATGTCCTGTGTGTGCGTCCTGCTGGCTACTGGCTGCTGTGTTTGGACATGTGTCTGCGCCGGCTGGCTTGACCAGAATCCAATATTTGCCCAAGGCATTTAGCTTTTCGCAAAATAAAACGGAAAAGCAGTGAAGGCGCCGCAGGACACGGCAGAGAGGCCATTGGGCAGCTGTCAGCCGCAGAAACGGGAGCTCAAGCTAGGACAAGCCTTTGAGCCGAGCCGAGCCGAGCGACTCACCTTTGGCCCAGCAGCTGTCAAAAATGTTAATGGGCGTAAATGAGACGCCCAATAAGTGAGCGAGTGCGAGTGCAAGAGCGAGAGCGAGTAAGTGAGGGAAAGGTATGGAAAACTAATTTCCGCTAGGCGAACAACAAAGACGCCTCTCGCTTGTCTTTCGCCTCTCGCTTGTCTTTCGCCGCATCCAGGACGTGTGCCAGACGTATCCTCAGCGCAAATTGCAAGCCTGCCGATCGCACGCCAAGGATTATGCTCCGTATGCAAATGGAAAATTGAAAAACTGGAAAAACTGCATTGCGAGTCAATAGCGAAACCGAAAACCCTTTTCAAAACATTCCTAGCTAAACAAAGATCAGTCTATGGGGTGTAGTTTCCTTCTTTCTATTTTTTTTTTTTTTTTTTTTTTTGTATTTTGCATTTGCATATGACAGAAAAAATTATATATTCAAAAAAGTGAAACTCTGTGCCTGGCCAGGACACACGACGACAAATGCACACCCCTCAGCACTTTTTTTTGCTTCGTGTGTTACCCAGACAACGGTTCGAGTCCTGCGGCTGTGGGCAACCCTTTTAGCTGAAAGGGTTTTTCACAAGTTCTATTTTTTTAATTTGCATTTTGTTGGGATTTCGAAAATCAAGTTCGAAACTAACCCCAGACGTGCTGCTTCCCAGTACCCAGCTTCCGTCCAGAGCCCGTTTTGTGGGTACAGTTTTTTTTTTACTTTTTACTTTTGTATTTGACAAGTGAATATTCATGTAATTTTTTTTCATCTATGCAAGGGTTAAAAACTTTTTAGAGGCGAGGTATAAAAAAAGCATGCAGAGAGTGAAAAAAACGTGGGTACTTTAGCATGTGCTCGTGCAGAATAATTTGGGTTGATTTGGTAGAGCCCGCCAGGAAAAAAAAGAGTTGAAAAACTGATGCAGGCGCCATATAGGGTGCTGCTGTGCGGATCAGCTGAGAGCTGCTAGGAATTAACTTAAACTTCGAGCAACACATAAATAATTTAAGTAAACATTTATCGTGTAACACAATGAACAGTATAATTAAAAGAATAGTACTCTGTTAAAAAAAAAAAAAAAAAAACATGACATAATTTTATCTAGTAGTAAAATATTATAAGTTCAACCTTTCAAAATATTCTCTAGATCGGCTTTCTGACGATTAAACTTTTATTAGCTCATGTGGCTAGTGCAAATAATAAACATTACAAATAATTAAATGCTACAAGTTTAAAATAAATGTTTTGAAATAATAATTAAAATAAAGCAACTTTTTTCAAAATTGAAAGCAAGATTTTTAAAAGCTTTAAAGCCATATTGCGTGGCCAACTCTTTTTCTGTAACACCCTGTATGTGCCTGGCTTCGCATAATATCCGCTTAAAAAACTCAAAATTCATAAAACTTGGCAACCAAAAAAAAAAAAAAAAAAAAAAAAAAATAGAAAAAATCGCTGCAAAACGCAAAAGTTGAGCACGAAAAAAAAAAACAAGAGAGTCTTTCTGCTCAGACAGAAGCATGCAGGCAGCCAGCCAAAGGGTTGAGATGGGTTGGAATGGAAAAAATTGTAGGTATTATGGTGAAGAAGAAGCGCGCAGCATTGCATGCAAAACGAAAGTTAATCACAAAATACATAACGGTAAAAAAAGAATAAAATAGATGAACACAAAAAAATGAGGCAGACGCGCGTTTTTTGCTTTTCTGTTTTTTTCTTCCTGCGAGGGGTTAACTTAATTTATGCGCATCGAGAGGCTGAAAGCGTGGCAGCGACTACGACTGCGACGTCGACTGAGGCAGCGATAGCAGTAGAGACATGAACTGAAGCTGAAGCTGATTATGCAGCGCGGGCTCAGTGGAAATGTTTTTCTTTTCTCTTTCTCTCATATTTTTTTTACCGTTCGGTTTTTAATTTGAAAAATATGCGACGCTTGCTCCGTTGTTGTTGTTGTTGTTGTCGGTTGTTGATGATGTGGATGGAAATCCTTTGGCATTATTGGAAATTATTGATTTATGATTTGCAATATGCTACACATTGCTCGCAACTGTGAAGAGAAGAGATAAATAGACTTGTGTATTTGATGGAGAATAGCCATGATGCACTAAGCAGCTATACACAGGTGAGAGATATTGTGATATTAGTGAGGTTTCAAAAGTAAAGAGATAATGCAAAACAAATTCTATACCTGCTACTCAATAGGTGATGATAAGTTAGGAAAGAATGTTATATAAGTATATACATAAGTATTTTTATAGGGATATTCCAGAATCTCTATTATTTCTAAAGCTAAAAATTGGATTTATGAACTATCTGAATAACTGTGATGTAATACACAAGAAAGAATAAGTTTAAAATCTATCGTATTTTATTTTAAGATCTGATGGATTTTAGTTAAGTTACAGCGGATGAAATAGTGATGAAGATGCCATATAGACACAAAAGTATTGTGATAGTATATACAAAAAATAAAAAATTAAAATAGGATGGGTTATAGGTATAATTCATTTTTAACAACTATGTATCTTTTTTTTTGTCAACTATTATTGCAGTAGAGACTCCAACTATCTTTTAAATAATTATCATATGTCTTGTCCCCTTTATAGAAACTTGAAAACTAGAATAAAATCTTTGTCAACTGTAACTCAACATGATCTTCATGCAGATTCAACCGTTTAGCTTTTATATCTATGAGACTTCAAATTTCGAGATTTGAAACAAATAATTGTCGACTAATTCCAACACAGTTAATGAAGGACATTTTCGAATCTCTCTTATAGACTTTCGTGTCAGCTTTTACAGACTTTCATATTAAAAGCGTGTTTACAATGGCCAAGAAAACAAGCAAAACAAGTTTCGAATACTATCATGTATTTTGGAGAGCACCACGCCTATTTACAAATGCTGGCCTTGGCTCTTCAAAACACTCTCGACCCACTTCGTGCGGCACTTAAGCAACATTTGCACCGCCCCGCAAGGCGCACTTCAAACACCAATTAAAAATTATAAACAGGCTCCCAATTTCTCTCTCTTTCTCTCTCTCTCTCATTCTTGTTTCATTCTATGTAATACCATCTTTATGAAAAATCCTCAAAAAACAAAGAAAAAAAGTATATTGTACATTAAGAAGAGAAGAAGTGCGTGGCCACCTGGGCGAACCGGCGCCAAATGATGCTGTTAAGATGCTTACAGCGCGATGCTCTCCCTTTATAAGGATGAATACTTCAAAAGGCATTAAAAACAAAAGTAAGAAGATGGGAGAGCGAGAGGGAGAGCGTGTGAGAGAGAGAGACCGAGAATGAGAAAATGAAAGCCAACTGACCTGCCGAGCTGTTCCAGCAGAAAGGGTGGCAAAACGAAATTAAATTTTGTACTTCGCATAAACTTAATTACTCGCCAGGCTCCCCTGTCTCTGCCGCCTGCCTCTGCCTCTGCCTCTGCCTCTGCGCCCAGGACACTCAAGCGCAGGCGCAGGACTCTGCGCGTTTCGTTCATTAATGGCCGCGCTTAATGGGCAATATTACATTATGCGCTGCATTGTCCTCTTTGCTGTCCTTAAAACAAACTTTTCTTGCTGCCCCCTCGCCGCACCCGCTGCTCGACTCCTTTATGCCAGCTAATTTAACCCTCCTTTGAGCTTTTGTTGCGCGCGTTGGCTGCGTTTGGTGTCAAACAGCATCATTTCCATGTTAATTGCGCGCCATTTTGTTGTTATTGTTGAGCTGTGCTGATTATCCTTTCATTTATGCAAAGTCCTGGCCGCTGTTAATTCGCTTATTCGTCGCCTGGCCTCCTGCTGTCGCTTCCACTGCTGCAGGTCCTTGCGTTTTGTCTGCATTTTAATTAATGTTTTCCTTGTTGTTTTATTGCCATGCAAACGAAGGAGCTGCTGATTAAAAGGATATGACTGGGTCCTTCGCCTGCCGTCGTCTCCGGCCAGCCGGATATGAGAGGTAATTAAGAAATTTTCATTGCCCTGTTAAATTGCGCTTTGCATATTTTGTGGGCGCTGCCCACGACGCTCGATATTGCCTTTCCGATGTCTTGTCCAGGCACTTTGATGTACCTCTTAAATTGCATTAGGCTTTTCACGCAGACCACTCTCACACACACACTCTCACTCACATACATACATACATACACACAGCCGCAAATTAGTTCAAAGGTTATCAAGCAAAAGGCTCAGTCGCACACACACTCTCAGCTCCTGCTTAAGCGAATTATGGAACACATTAGAGTTGTTACAGCTCCAAAGGAAAGCAGCTCCTGCATGATTTAATAATGTGCCTGGA